TTTTTAATCTTACGTCCAGGAAGCTAAGCATGTAGTCGTCCCTGACTCTCGGCCGAATGTCCTCAATCTCTTCAACTGAGCATTTGAGTGTATTGCCCTGCAACAAAGTTCTCAGTAATAATACTTCTGAACAGATAGCAATAGGTTTTGTTTTCTTTTATACAAGAATCTAACGTATTATATGGGTGATACGGCTCGAAGGTGGCACTAACTAAAATAGATAACTCCTAATGTCGGTCCAAGAACGCCTAATGTACTGTTGTGCAACTTAACGTAGAAAAATAAGGTAATTGGCTTACCACTCTGTCCAAGATCGGTCCTGTCTCCACTTGCCTTCCTGCACGACTCGATTGGTCGTACGCCGTGTCTTCATCGTCGGAGCACTCGATGTCGGCGTAGTCATCTTCTGTCCACTATACCCTCAGCCTGCAACGTGTCGCACGCTGGTACCAAAGCGAGGGGACCGGAGTGTGGGAACCGGCGAGAGGACCGTGGCGCAGGAACCGTCGAGGGGACCAGGCGCTGGCGGAGGAGGCCGTGATGCTTGGCGAAGTAACATGGCTGGGCGCAGACTTACATCGCGCTGCGCGAGCGCGTGAGCGGGGGGTGGTATGGCGGTGGCGCTCGACGGGCTCAGGGCGCAGGCGCGGCGTGGGCGGCCGGTGGAGGCGCGTGTGCTGGCGGCGGCGGCGGCAAAGCTCGCCTCTGCTCTGCTAGGGCGAGAGAGGGAGAGGAAGAGAGGAAGAGAGGGGCGAGGCCCATAGGTAATAAATGCGCTGAGCTCCCTGCCATGTCACCTTCCACGTTCGCTTCGAGTCCAAGAGCTCGGCGCTAGGGACGCTGAAACTGAGACGTGTTAGCTCGATATTAGTATCAATGGCGTCAAGCTAAGGGTCCATAAAAAAAAAAGAGCTAAAATATAAAAAAATTCGGCCGTGCCGTGGGGTAGCGTGCAGCGCTTGCGTGGATTTGGAGATGCCCGCCCGTGCCTTTCCGCCGCTTCCCACCGCGCCGCACCCGCCCCACTCCCCAGCACCCAATTCAACCGTTGCCTACAGCTCCAGATCCGACCCCCTCGATCGGGACTCGAGCGTCAGTCACCACAGCGATCAACCGGCCGCCGCGGGTGACCAACCCACCCGCGCTTACCCCCGCCAGATCCCCGGATCCCCCTCCCAGTCAGCCATGGCCGCGCCCCGCTCCGGCCTCCGCCCGCACTGCCACTGCTAGCGCCATGGCCGCCGCCGCCGCCTCCTGCCGGAGCCCGCTCGCCTGGCTCTTCGCGCTTGCCGCCGCGCTCTTCTTCTTCTCCTGGTACCTCCTCCTCGACTCCGCCGCGGGCCCTGCCGCCGCCCGCCGCCCCAACCAGTGGCTCCGCCCTGACGGCAGCGGGCGGCGCCCCGGCCCCGGTACGAAATGCGACCCCGCGGAGGCGCTGCTGCGAGTGTTCATGTACGACCTGCCCCCCGAGTTCCACTTCGGGCTGCTCGACTGGAAGCCCCCCGGCTTCGGCGGCGGCGTGTGGCCCGACGTCAGGGACGGCGTGCCGGACTACCCGGGGGGCCTCAACCTGCAGCACAGCATCGAGTACTGGCTCACCCTCGACCTCCTGGCCTCCGAGCAGGGCGCGCCCACGCCCTGCGCGGCGGCGCGGGTGCGCCACGCCGCGGACGCCGACGTCGTCTTCTTGCCCTTCTTCGCCTCGCTCAGCTTCAACCGCCACTCCCGGGTCGTGCCGCCCGCGCGGGACAGCGAGGACCGCGCGCTGCAGCGGAGGCTCCTCGAGTTCCTCGCTGCGCGGCCCGAGTGGCGGAGGACCGAGGGCGGGACCATGTCGTGCTCGCGCATCACCCCAACGGGATGCTCGACGCGCGCTACAGGTTCTGGCCCTGCGTCTTCGTGCTCTGCGACTTCGGGAGGTACCCGCCCAGCGTCGCCAACCTCGACAAGGACGTCATCGCGCCCTACCGGCACCTCGTCGCCAACTTCGCTAATGACACCGCCGGATACGACGACCGGCCGACGCTGCTCTACTTCCAAGGCGCCATCTACAGGAAGGACGTGAGTATCTTGCTACTTACTCATCTCGTCTAATTTGAATCTTCGTTGGATTAGTCACATCTAATTTAATATAATAGTAATGTCAGCATGCCTCTTTTGCTTAAAAAACTTGTGTTCTTCCCTAAAAAGAATTGAGAATGTTTGACATGCCCATGTGGCACGTGCACTCCTTTTCATTCCGTAGCCTTGCAATGGCTAACATGTCCCTTTCCCTCCGTGTGCCACTTACCTGAATTTGCACAAGTTCTGGCCACTAAAGATGCATCGATGTATGCTTCTTTACGAATTGGAGCGTTTTGCCCTGTCTATCAGTAATTAGTCCAGCTCGTACATAGGCAATCACTTCTCCCAGTCATATATGACCACGATCAGCATACTTCGCTGTCTTTTTGCAACAAGTTCAGTATACTTTAGTAGTTATATTATACAATCTGACAGGTGATCTATGTATCTGTAAACAAGTTCAGTATACTTTAGTAGTTATACAATTGACAGTCAAACATGGATTAGACGTGGGTTATATTGATTGGTCTAAGAGATTAGGCTCTGTGAGCAGATGAACTATGGAAAATGTATGCAGTTCACATATATATTTGCTATTCTACTCACATTTTCACTGCACAATGTTGTAGGGTGGTTCCATCCGGCAGGAACTGTATTACCTTCTGAAAGACGAGAAAGATGTGCATTTCTCATTTGGAAGTGTAGCTGGTAACGGGATCGAGCAATCAACACAAGGGATGCGGTCATCCAAGTTCTGCCTCAACATTGCAGGTGACACTCCATCCTCCAACCGCCTCTTCGACTCCATAGTCAGTCACTGTGTTCCCGTCATCATCAGCGATGAGATTGAGCTCCCGTTTGAGGATGTCCTTGACTACTCAAAGTTCAGCGTCATAGTACGTGGTGCAGACGCAGTCAAGAAGGGGTTTCTAATGAGCCTGATCAAAGGGATCAGCCGAGAAGAGTGGACACGCATGTGGAACAAGCTAAAGGAAGTAGAAAAACACTTTGAGTACCAATACCCATCCCAGACTGATGATGCCGTGCAGATGATATGGAAGGCTATTGCTCGGAAGGTGCCCTCTATCCGGCTGAAGATTAACAGATTACGAAGATTTTCTCGGTTTGATACTAACAAGACAGATGAGACTCTACCCTAGTCTTCTTCTTGGCTACAGAATCAGGCTCCTTGATTTTGGACTACCAAGCCCAGGCTTTCACCATGTTTTCAATCCTGTCGAAACAAGAGTTGATACTGAAGACCAAACCTTAATCGCATGACTGGGGGCAGATGTTACAGCTGCAGACATTAACGGAGAGTAAAGTTGAAACACTTTAGCATAACAGAATTACATATCCAATGGCATATCATTTTTCTTCGATTCTTTTCTTTTACTTACTATTCATCCAAAATGTCCTCGGCTGCAGACTAAGGACAATGAATTTTGTACGAGAAGCTGTATATTCTTGGTGGCAATATAATTACTGATCAGTTACAGTTGCTGAGCACTTTCGGTTAACGTCCACTGAAGTCTAAAGTCAAATAGGGAAGGTTCTGCAGATGGAGAAAAGGGTGATATCACGCTGTGTGTGAATTGAGATCGGAATGTGGCATTTGGATAGTCATGGAAAGACTGAACGGGCGCACCAGATAGGGAAAGCTGGATAATAGTCTCTTCCTCGACTTGTTTTACGGTTTCACATACTGGTTGTATGTTCAATTGTTTCCTCCACTTGTTTTATAGTTTCACATACTGGTTATATTTGCATTGTTCATCAAGTTCTCGATTACTTACAGCGCCCACTGGCTACCTTTAATGGTACGCAGTCCCGGGCAATCTTTCAATCTCGCCAAAGAAGAAATGGCCTTTAATGGTACGCAGTCCGGGCCAATTTTTCAATCTGTCCGAAGAAGAAATGACTCTCAGAGGGGCAAGCGGAGGAAATGCAGAAATCGCGTATCCCTCCTATCCTCGGAGTACAGTGGATATAGAAAGAAAGGAAGAGTCCGATTGCTTTGCTTGGAGACGGTGTTCTTCTTGGTCGACGTATAAGTAGGTATAACAGAACATATAGAACAAGAAATTTGCACCTTGCCAAATTTTATATCACACTATTATCTTCCCATCTTGGTAAGGCCTCAGGCCCCAGAACTGTAGCCCTGTTAGCACTGACCTATTTGAGATTGCCTGATGGGAAGATAAACACGCCGTCCTCGGCAAGAAACACGATGTTAATCAGGTGTTTTTCCATAAATGTTCAAGGACTGTCAATGGATGGAACTTTTTGTTCAAATTTGTGATCCTGTTCGAAGAGACAGCGAGATGCGAAAAACCTGCAAAACTAAAATCAATCATGACTGCAATACCCCTATCGCCTCCTCCCTGCATTTTGTAGCTATTTGTTTTTCTGAAACGGAATGGCAGAATTATTGCAGGAAGCACAGCACCTATCAAGGTGGAACAAAGTTTTCCTTGCAATCGCATATATATATGGTGAGTAGCCATCTGCCCATCTGCTTACCAGAAATGAGCAATGCTCAACATTACAGTGACAGGAACAATTTATGGTTGTGATGAGTTACCATGTTTGTCCTAGCATTTAAAATGCTGACAAAAAAGAAGGTTAGAATCCAAAGCGGAACTTTGTCTAATCAAAGTGGCATCTCTCAGGGTGGATTCACAGTTTATTGTACGGAAGGACCAAAAGAGGCTCTCTATCAGGGGAAATGTACAGACGGTGCAGTTCAGACACGGACACCATATTCAGATATTTTGTTGATCCTTTCCTGCAAGGCACATCTCTGGTTCTTCAAATCGGAGGCCATGGAAGCCACCTAATGGATAAAAAGAAACAGTATTTTAATCAACACTTTTTTTTGTACGGTTTTATTTAATCAGCACTTGACGCAAGGGCAAAGACATTCTATGTACAAATCATGTACTCGCCTCTGCTCGCAGCTCGAGAGATTGCCTGGTAGGAATGGTCCTTAGTCTATCCATCAGACCTACAGTCACAAAAATAATACACATGCCGTTATGAGATCTAAAGTGAGCAATCTTAGTGTTTAGTCGATTTTGTGTTGAGGACGTTTGAAATTAAGTTGCAAATAACTAAAAGCAATGAACCCAATAATCAGAAGAAATATAATTAACACCTGCAACTGTAGATTCTGCTTTGTAAATGGAACCTATAAGAGATTGGATCTGCTTCCCAGTAGATCTGGAGAGAGGCACAGGCAATAATTTTACAGTATGTTGGTGACAAACCATTATTAAATGAAACAGCAACAGACATGGAAAAAAACAGACTTTTCCGACTGAGACTAAATGTAAAATACCTCAAATCAGTACGTCCACGCTGCAGATCACTTTCACCAACAGCTACTTTGTCAAGAGTGTATTTTGATTCTTTCTTCAAGTTCTGAATAGATGTTTTGTACTCCATCATACTTTGCTCAGCATCATTCAGTAAATCCTGGCAAGATTTTGGTAAAAAAGTCAGATGCACTCATACATGATCACACAGTTATGATCTCATTGGACTGACAGAAGTTCCATTTATCTCATGTAAATCATTCTAATGAATCTTACATGAGTGAAGAAAAGTTTCAACATGAACATAACCGCATTTATAAGACTTATACCTTCTCAGTCTTGAAACGGCCAAAGGTATTATGGTATAAAATCTCGAGGACCTGATGGTACAATTCATCACTAAATCAGTATCAAAATTTGAGATGCAACAAAACAAGTGTGCACACCATTGCGAAACTAATGTCACTTTTGTGTAATTACTAGAGGAACTATTCACAGGGAACACTATACATATTAGGCATACAGCATTACAAAAGTTAATTCTTGATAAGGCAACAGCTTTACAAAGTTAATTCTTGTTAAGTGCACTGTCTATTAGTAACTGTTGTTCTTAAGTATGTTCTGGCTGGTACTTTTGTCAAATGCTCATGGTTGTGATGTGTTTTATGTGCTATCTCTACTTAATTTCACGAAACTTTTGTCCAAACGAAGTTAAACTCTCAAGTCACCATTTGCCAAGGCCTGAACCATCAACCATCCAACTTAGTTTGAGATAACTGATGAGCAAATAAGATTATGCCAGTTGCCAGATACACCTGGTTGGTCTGGGATCCATCGCTTTTGAATAATTATGTCCAGATTATATGTAAGAACTCAACTGGAATGATAAATGCATACAAAACAACCCAAGTACTAGAGTATATCTACAATTCAAACTGATAATCAATCAAGGAGGCCCATACAGCATGAGCACTGTAGACACTTGAATCAACGAGACATGGCAATAGAAATATCAAAACAATAGGACTTGAAAGCTTCACAAGAGGGATAATACGGCTTTGCAGAACCATTTGATAGCTTAAGCATAAAACATAGTATCATATGCTGTTACAAGCACAAGCTAACAAGCAGTTACATATAGCAACTGCAATTAAAACCAATCTTCTCACAGCAACTTGATAATGCATCTGATCCACAAGGCTTTGCATTATTAGCTCGAGGAAACTACTCCCTCCATTAAAAAGTGGACTTCTAGATTGCACTTGCACTCAGACAAAAAATTTCTAACTATGATCGTTAATCATGAGAACATAATACAAAAACTTAAAACATTAAGGCCTTGTGTGGATGTTGTCGGATTCACCTCAATCCACATGTGTTGGTGTGGATTGGGGTGGAATTTAGTTCAAATTTCACTCCAATCCATCCCAACACATGTGGATTGATGCCAATCCGAATACATCCAAACAAGGCCTAAATGTGCAAGTTAGAGACAGTATCAATGTCCGAAACTATTTCCTTTTTCACTCCAGAACTATAGGGCCTAAAGCTTTATGGTTTTATTTACTCATGTGCGCTTCAAAATACCAAGCCCTTGACAAGCAGTTGGGAGTTTGGGACACTACAGGTACAACTAGTCAACTACAATGCACTACACTTCCAAATCTCAAATATTTGTCCAGCAAGTACAAAAACATGATCTATAACTATTCGTTAGCATAAAATACAACTAAAAGGAGATGTTTAATATCAATTGAAACAAGATTCCAGCATCAAAAAGTAAAAAAAATAATCTTTTCTTATAAGTATTTAAAAATATCATAATCTGTGACAAAAGGAATACCATAGTTCCAATCAAATTGCAACTAAAACAAATACTCCCATTATTCTCTGGAGTCAGCTTCACAGAACAATGCACCAGTTTGATGTTCCAAAAGTTCACATCTTTACCCCCTCATCAGTTCGGCTGATGGTTTCTGCGACTGATAAGCCAGCTGATGCTGATTTGTTGTGAGAGAAAAACACCGTACCATGGCTGATAAGTTCAAGCGAGCAGCAGTGCTGCTATGTGGCGGCGCCATGGACACAATAGCCAGCATGTTTGGAGTCAGTGTGCTTGGAATAGATGCACATGTACCTGCCATCACAAACCTTTGGGATTTTTTCTCCTCAAAAGGGGATCCCAGATGCAGCCCATGCCATAAGCTGCCCAGAATTCCATTCTGTTTCTGGTCGTCCACCCCCTAGTAGTCCGACTAATCATGATTAGTCGATGACTAATTGGATGACCAGAAAACTAATCGGCCTAATTGAGTCATGGCTCCTAGTGAAGTCCCTGACTAATCACAATTAATCAGACGATTTGATAACACTGGTTGGAACATGAGACTAATTTAGTACTGAGGCATTTATACCTACCACCTTACAATAAGGTCTATTTGGGAAGAGTGGCAAGAAAACTGAGCAAGTCACCTATTTGAGAACAAACCAAAATGCAAATCTCAAAATGACATTAAAAGAAAATGTAGAAAATGATAATCTATATTCCATGTTCTCGACTGAGTGCAAATCAAACAAAAAGACGACTAAAGGTGACATTAACTGTGAGCTCATAGCAACTACTATCACATCCCATCATGCATCCTGTTTAATTGTTTCAGAAATCACACCAATCACACCTAGAGAGAGGAAATAGAGGTGGAGAGATAAACCTCAACAGGAAAAGGTCGTGTAAAAACACATTTCACAAGAAGTAGAATGTCGGGTTATATATTGGCTGAAACTATGTATTGGTGCCACTGAGTGCACTTGAGCCTGACGATGGCTGGTGTGGAGTCTTACGACCTGCCTGAAGTGCTCTAGTGTTCATGGCATAAATGCATACTTGCATTTTGTATCAGAGTTGTTTGAGTTACTTTACTACGTTACTTCATACAATGAAACTGATAATCAACTTCCTGAGAAGCAAGTTTTTTTTCAAGATTGTTTCTTGCTAAGATTATATCCCACCATTTTTTTCTCTCTCTAAAAGCTGCAAAATGGAAAAGAATAGGCAAGCAAAAAGGATGTGGGAGTAACTTCCATGAGTTCACAAAAACATTGCCATTAGTCATCGTTTTATCCAATACGGAGTAAGTTAAAACTTGGAATTTAAGATTAATAATTACTCGTTTTAGTCATGAAATGATATTGGAAATTTGGATCCATTTTATTATATATTATCAAGGAATATCGAAAGTTTTATATAAATATTGACTGCTGAATCTTGTGTTAATTGGTCTTAACCATCTCCTGCTAGCTACCACATGTTAGCATAGATGTAGTAGTGTGGAGAACCAGGGTGTCAAACTAGGATGCCAAATGTCACACTTTGTACTCTGGTTTTAGGATTTGCCAGATCATGTTATTCTCATCCGATATCTAACAGAATCAATCCCCATGTTTTCATTCACCTTCCTAGTTCCTACTGAAAACACAAAATAAAATAATTGTAGCATTTCCCTCATGACATGTTTAAGAAAATACAATTCATGAACCATAGCTTCTCCTCATCATTTCCCACAGGTACAACAAACAAACATCAGTAAGGTTCCAAAAAAACAGGAGTATACCTCTGAACAGAATGAATCCTGCAGCAGTGGCACATCCAATTGCCTCCGCCTGATGCTCTCTCACAAGAACCAGAGCATCTGCAATAGTTCCTTGTATATGGAAATAAGACCAGATAAAAATTTCAGGACCATACTAGGAGACAAATGCATCCTGGGGTACATATAAAAAATCTCACCTTTAGTGCCCTCGACAACTGCATCCTCATAAGCTTTGTATTGTGACCACAGCCCTGGTGTCAAACTCTACAAGGCAACAGGAAGAATGTGATCACAATAGAACAAAAATGATGGATCTTAGAGGAAATGCAAATTTCTTGGCTAATCCAACATGTAATACGAATATTTGTGGGACCTTTCTCACAATACAGATAAATGAGACATCAATGGATAGGTTCTATAATTTTCTCGCTGCAAATGAAATAGGATTAACTTAGTTAAGGAAAAGTATAGAATGCGGAAAACATAACTGTGTTCCAACGCGTATGAAATAATCCCGTAAGTAATGCTAAAGACAGATCTGCTCAACCGAAATAAAGGATACCAAATACTACATCTGAGATGAAGAAGGATGGCCTATGGCCACGAACACGAATCCAATAGGAAATTTTTCCTACGGGGGTCTAATCAGGAGAGGAACGAGACCTGGAGCTTGCGGAGAGGCCACGGGGAGGTGGAGGCAGATTCCTCGCCTTGCGCCGGCGTGCGGCCGGGATCTGGGGACGCCATCGTCTCCGCTGCTGCTCGTTCTCCGGCGACCGAGATGGGTTTGGACTTTGGAGGCGTTTGCTCGCGGACCTTTCCTTTTTGGGGCCCCTTCCTTTTTCGCATCGTGGCCCGTCCTGCCTTCTTTTTTTCCCGAGATGAGAGGATTCTTGGGCTCTTGGCCCATATTGAGATGGGTCAAAGAGATGGCCCTAGTGGTAGGCTGGTAGTGGTAGCCCACGGACTAACCTATGCCTTTGGTCATTATTGTGCACAGTGGACTGAATACCAACCCGTCTGTTGCTTAATTTAGAAATTCCATTAATTTATTTGTACTAGAAAAATAATGTTCTGTAGAATATACCAGCCGAAATCAGTTGTGAACTCAATTATTTTAAGTAGAAAAAAATCTTAACTTAGGGCAATGTATTGAACTTTTGACAGTGGACTGAATACCAACCAGTCTGTTGCTTATAATTTAGGAATTCCATTAATTTATTTGTACTAGAAAAATAATGTTCTGTAGAATATACCAACGGAAATCAGTTGCAAACTCAATTATTTTCAGTATAAAAAAATCTTAACTTGTTATGAACTTTTGACACAGTGGACTGAATACCAACTAGTCTGTTGCTTAATTTAGGAATTCCATTAATTTATTTGTACTAGAAAAATAGTGTTCTGTAGAATATACCAGCGGAAATCAGTTGCGAACTCAAATATGTTCAGTAGAAAAAATCTTAGCTTACGGCAAATGTTATGAACTTTTGAAGGATGTAAATAGATCATCTAGTGCATACATCAACAAACTCTTTCTAAGTTTCCATGTTGCCAAAAAGAATTATTGTGCCGCAAAAAAAGTATAAGAAATGTTGTTACCAGAACAATGCTCTCCGTGAACGTACTGTGTGGCAACTGGCAACCATGATCATTTCTATCCGAACCCTTCTCTACATAAAGGTGGAAAAGCACCAAGCAGAGAAAAAGATATAATAAATAAGAGATATGCCAGCTGATGCTGAAATATATAGCGATATAAAAATCGACTCGTATGTTTCAAAAAAAAATCGACTCGCTCGTATTTCTTTTTTAAGGAAAAGAGTTGACCAAACAGCTACACTCGTAGTCCTTTTTTTTTCTAGCATCATCTTGGTTCATGGTGGCATTCGTCGATGTCAGACTGATTAAAAAGAGCTGGAGCTAGTGCTCAAAGATTTATTTTGGGCAAATAACGTGGTGGGACTAACGATGGAAGAATGAGGTTGACATGTGTTGTATCGCATACAAATCTAACTTTCAAGAGTAAATAGAAAACTCCCTCTGGTCTAAATTATGTCACTTTAACTTTATACTTAGTTCCCTCAAAAAATTTATACTTAGTTAAAAAATAATTCAATGTATAGAAGATGTACCAACATCTATAATGTCAAAATAGTTGTATTTTAAATTCTCCATAAAGTGTATTGACAACACATTTATTTGATTCTATATTTATTATTAATATATTTCTATAAAATGTTGTTCAAAATCAGAGAAATTTGATTTTAGAATAAAGCTAAAGTGACCTATAACATTGGAACATCCACAGTGCTATTATAATGTATCTTATTATGATGGGAAATATCCATTTAGGTGTCTTTACACTTCATATGTGCTCATATTTTAGACTAATTATTATTCTTTCGAAGGTCGATGAGGTGTGGATGTCGACAATAAGACATCAATGATAATTTCCTCAATATCAGGATGTGCCCGGCCAATCTTTTAGAGGTGTTCATAGATGTAAAATTGTGTGTATATTCATTAAGATGTAGGGGTCTTATGTACTATGTGAGTGTCAAAATCTATAGAGCACTGCTCCGGTACTCCTCTTTTTAAAACTGCACACATCTCAAAGCAGTCAATTTAATAATTTTTTATTATTTTGCAACTGGGTTCCGCATGGGCCCAGCCCGTCCAAGCCCAGCCCGAGGCCAGCCTTGATCCAGAGGTGAAGTCACGTTTTGTCCAGGTCTCCGTCTTCACGTCGTCGTTTCCCTAGCGTCAGAACTAAACATGTCTGCTCCCTCCTCCGAATTCCGATCCCTGCATAAGAAGCCTAGGAGCTCCCTCCTCCGGTCCCTTGCGGCGGCCGGCGGACCGAGCCAAGTGCGGCATCTCCTTCCCCCTCCTCCCTCGATCCCATTTGCTGGCAGCCGGCAAGGAGGTTCGGTGGCGCCGTCGTCGCCGGGAGGAAGAAGAAGCCCCTGCGAGCCGCCGAGAGCCGCCGGGCCACCGACCGGGGGAGGCGCCTGTCCGCCTTCTTGTTGGAAACATGTGTCTGCTTGTTCCTGCGCCCCTAGGTAAAGTACTGCAGGCACATAAACTCCTTGAGAGCAATGCCTTCTGAAGCATGTACATCTTCTCTGACTCGGTATGGCTGCGAATGTCTCGTTTCTTCAAATTCAGAACATTTCGTTTCGTCTCTATGAGAGACATTGGCATTAACATTCTCATTGGAAACTAACGTTCCTTGACTTCTTGCCTGAATGGTTTCAGCAACCTGCGTTCTGACTGAGTGCAAAGCGTCGTTGGTCCTATCTGCACGGCCCACCTCCAGTGATTTTTTCCAAAGTGCTCTATATTTAGGAGATGCAGCTCTAGTCCCTGTTTGGACTTTTTCTGACAGCCACTGCATCGGTGGAATAGGGGGAAGTAGCGATGTATCTACTTTGGTATCTTGTACTTTTGTTTCTCTTGTTCATGTAGCATGAGATAGAAATAATAGGTGAGTGAACTTCTGCAAAAATATAGTTTATCATGATATAACAAAGAGTGGGTCACAGAGTCTGTTTTGCTTAAGGTCTGTCGAAATATTTGGTTTAAAGCTATTGACATCTGACAACTATTCTTTAGTTATTATTCAGAGAAAGGTATAACTAGCTGAGTGTATGCAGCTTAACGATACGAGACTTTTCTGATATATCAGTCAATCTCAGTGTATAGCAATTTCTAAATCTTACATTGCACATTTGAACCTGAAGATTTGGCTAGCAATACTTTTTTTTGAAACTAATTAACTAGCAATACTCTTCTACGTTGCAGCAGCATCCTGGTGTAAGTACCTCAGTTGGGGACACATTGCATCCATGTATTTTGCAATGACCAGTATAATATTCAGAACATTGCAAACATTAATATGGCTGCCTTTGTATGCAGCTGCTAGACGCTATCTTAAAGACATGCAAGCTTGTATATCTTAGGGCCTGTTCGCTTGTCTGAATTTTGGAGGAATCTGAATGGTTTGGAGGAATGCTGGAAGAATTTGTGAGAGAAAAATACTGTTCCGGATGAAAAAATAAGCGGATCAAGCCGGGTTTAGTACCAAGTGAACCAACAGCTGCCTTGCTGATCTTATGCAATGCAAGTGGTAGTTGTTTCTATCTGCAATGATGGCCAGAAATCCAAAACCAGGTGCAGGACAAAAGATATGTACAGATGGCATTGTGCTCATGTGCTTGTTGGTTAGAGAATAGGGTTCTTACTTGTTTAGTTAGCAGCCTAGGCCATAGAATAGAATGACCAGAAATCTGCTTGTAATATAATTTTGTTATTTTTTTCACTTTATATTCACGATCCTGATCCACAAATTTGGAGATGGTGCTCTAAGCAATTGTTGAGTATGTGAGTAATGAATTCCATCACACTTAAGTGCTGAATCGCACCCTTGTTTTTCCAAGCATTGTGGACTTGTGTCAAAATAGTGCATTGGTTCTATGGACTCTACGTCTTTGCTACATTTGTGTTAGGAAACAAATTATAGACTTCTGAAACTAATTTCTTCAGAAAGAAAGGGGTTTTCCATGAAGACTTGTTGACTGTAAATAGAAAGAATAAAGCCTAGAATTCTTGTTTAAAGGGGTTGTAACTTGACTTGTACACATGAACAAAAACAGTGAAGATAAAAACAGTGAAGTAAACTTTTGTGCAGCCGTTATTTAGTAAGTTCATCTTGACCTGTTGACTGTATTGGTTGATTTCCATGAAGACTTGTTCATGCGTATCTCTATAAAATTTCATTGGAGTGGTGTGGTGTCTTCAGTATGTGAGCGGCCAGTGGCGACTACTTTTTGTTAGAGGATGTCCCCGAAGAGACAGCGGCGAGTACTTCACTCTTCTTATAAACTAGGTAGCGTGTCCGTGCGTTGCTACGGGACAACTAAACTTTTATACTAAAAACACACGGATCGCAGGATAAGATAACAATACTGTGAAATTAAATACTGACGTTAAAGTGACATTTAATCCAAAAAATAAACTTCGTAAAATTAACAAAGTCACGGAGAGCGCGGCGTCGCAGGTTCACCAACTCTATTGTATAGACCTTTTCGTGCGTTGCAACCAGAACAAATAATGCCCTAAAAATTTGAGCATGAAAGTGTTGTATTGTTACAAAAAACGATAATACGAGCGTGATGTTCAGAATATAAATACTACAAATTGGATTTTGTGCATGGCTAAAATTCTGATTGATGGTTTATAATCATCAAGCTATGCATTTATAGTATTGTTGGTATATTGCTAATAGAAGCAAATAGAAAGAATGGAAACTAGAAGGAGGAAGCCAACACCCAAGATTAGTTATATGGTCTCACTGATTAAAAGCACAGTCAACTTATACTTGAAAAGTGATGTTTTATGAGTGATGTGTCCAAACATTTTTAATACAATAGATACTCTACTCTGTTAAATGAACTTAGCAGTTCTGTGCCAGTTAATATAGCTCCAAACAACCCAATAACAAGTTTTTGTGATTGGATGGCAAAGTATATTTTATACAAATAATTAAAAGAAAAATTGACCATGGATCCTCGTTCTTTGGTATTCAGTAGCTAATTATAATTATAAATATATGGTAAAGTAAGATGTGCTGACCTGACAATGACAAGCTGCTCTTCGACCAACTTGTCCAAAGTCAAGTGCTAAAAGTAACACAAATTACAGCAATGCAAACTGAAAATGCAAAGAACTTGAGCACTGAAGAATGTGCATGGAAGTTCTCTAAAAAAGGTACCTAGCTGTTTCCTCCTCTTTGCTTTCTCTCTTTGCTTAGATGAACATGCTAATATTTTCATGAATAGTAACATCATACCTGCAAAAATAGTATCTGTCAATGGCGTGACTGTCGATGTTTCACCACCGATAGCCTGCCACGGGGGTACCCGGGGCAGTTTGTTCGGGCTTCAGCGTATACAGAACTCGACGGTTAACGCAAGAGACAGTCGATTTATCCTGGTTCGGGCCCTCGACCGTGATCGAGTAATAGCCCTACGTCCGGTCAACGTTAGCCTTTACGTTGTATTGATTGTCTAGTCCCGTCTCTAGGAACCCTGCCCTTCTTTATATAGTCAGGAGGCCAGAGTCCTAGTCGGTTTACAATGAGAGTTCCTAGTAGGATTACAGAATACTACTACTACTAAGATTACATGGGAAGAATCCTAGTTAGACTAGATCTTCTCTCTTTCTTGCGGGGTATCCCGTGGGTCCCGCATCGACAAGCCCCCGAGCACTTCATGGTTGAACTCTGGAAGCCTCGTCTTGTTTCTTCAGGTCTTGCCGAGTAAAGAGAAGATAAAACAAGAATTGGCAAAGTCTATTTCTTCAGAAAGATTGGCAAGTACAAGTTGAAGAATAAAGCCTAGAATAGCAAAAAGGACAACTTCGCCCCTCTGGTTTAAAGGGGTTGTAATGATTAAAGAGAGGGGTAAAATGGTCATTTGTATGTAAACACGAAGACTAGGACCTCTATAAATACCCCCTGACATATATAGTAGGACCAGAAAATGAATACAACTTTACACTTGTGCTCAAACTTGGTGTTTGTGTGATTATTTCACCCAACACTTGTATTGCTCTAAAGATGCCAACTGCAGAGGGCGAAGAAGACGAGAGGGGCTATGTCTCTAAAGTCTGAACTGAATGCAATACAAATAACAGAAGACAGATCACATGGAATGCAATGTTTAGATAAACGAGGATTCCTTCAGTTATAAAACCATTCGAATCCAAATAGCTTAGAGATCACACATGATGAAATCTAAATGCAGTTACTGAGATCTATAAAGGCACGTCCTCGAAAAGAAATGGATCACAAGACGAAAATCATAGTCGACACGGATGATTCTCGGATGGAAACACTGATGGCAATGAAGTTCAGCGTGCTGACAGTGTGGGATGTGGGCATGTGGTAGTAGACTGCACGACGCCGGTGTGTAGGCTGAGAGAAGGTTTGTGATGAAATTTAACTAAACCAAAATAACTGATTCATTGGGGATGGAGAGGGATTAGGAAGGCGGTGACTGTCTTTGGGATCGGGGATCACATTGCTGCGACTGCGGCCCCCGGTGCGGGTGGGAACGGGGAACGAACCGCGCCTCATTGGCCGCCGCTGTGGACTGTGGGTGGGAACTGGGATCAGGAAGAAGGATCGGCCGAGGTGGTTGACGAGCTTGTCGATCTGCTTGGACTGCTCGAGGATGAGGCGTTCTCCTGCTGAAAGACCCTCGGGGAGGGGAGGGCAAATGGCGGCGGCGGACGAGGGATGCGCAATTTAGGAATTAGGAGGCGGGACGGGAGGGAATTTAGGAAGGTGGGATAGGGAGGTGTCGTGATTACTGTGATCAACGCAGGACTGCCGGAAACGATTTTGGGAGAGGCAAGCTCGCGGGATCGCACGTCTTTGGTAGAAAGGCGACCCGATTGAATGTCGCACGAAACGGTGGTCTTACTTTCATTTCTTTTTAGTTGTAGGAGATTTGACGCTGAATAGGACGCAGCCGCCGAACCTGCCGGCTCCCGGCTCACAGGGGCGCGGGCGCGCGCCTCCCTCGGCCAGTGTGCCCTGCGCCGCAGGAATATGCTGGTTGCTAGCAAATGGGATCGTGGGTGGAGGGGGACGGAGGTGCGGCACTTGGCTCGGTCCGCCAGCCGCCGCTGCTCGGGAATGGCGGCCGCAAGAGACCGGAGGAGGGAGGCTTCTTCTACGAGAGTTTTACCTCTCTACCCATATTTTTTAGGTGCCATTGAAAAGTTCAGGCGCACCCAAGCGCTATGACACTTTTTTTTTACCTCCCAAGTCATTTCGTCTACTTTTCCATCTAACTGTGTTAATCTGCGTTGAAAAAAATCCCAAATGCCCTCACCTTGCTGACCAAACGAGATATGTAAAGTTTAACAGGGGGCTATCGGGAAGATTCACAAGACACATTATACAACGAATTTATAAGATAGGGTAGGGCTAAATTGTAAAGAGATCTTCTTCAACCTTTAGCCACGGCCGATTGTGCACTCGTGCAGTAGAGGTGATGCTCCGGCCGGGTAGGGGTGGGCTCGGCTCATGCGACTGGTGGTGCTTGGCCGTGCATGGGTGGGCTCGGACGGCCGCACAGGCAGCAGTGGGCTCGGCGGGCGGTGCGCGGGCGAGCTCCGTCCCGTCCACCGCAGGCGGTCGCGCGAGCGAGCTCCGCCCCAGCCACCACGGGCAGCGTGTACCGGGCGGCTGCCGAGGCGACCCTCGGTGGGTCGAGGCCCAGCACGTGAGCACCCTCGTCGTGGACGGCGCGCACGCGGCCACGACGTTGAAGCTCCCATCCATGGACGTTGAAGCAGCGGATGGAGGCCGGCGTCCCTTTGAGGATGCCGCAGACGAAGCCGTGGGCGCCGCGCTAGGGATGAAGTACGCGGCGCTCGCCATGGCGCCGGGCCGGGAGCATCGTCTCCATCGCCAGTGTCGCGGGCGTGCTCGGCGGCATGGGCCCGCACGCGAGGGAATCGGAGGCGTGAAGACGGAGAGCCTGGACAAACGTGACTTCACCTCTGGATCAGGGCTGCCCTCGGGCTGGGCCTGGACGGGCTGGGCCCATGCGGGACACCGTTGCAAGATAATAAAAATATTAATTCATTAAATTGATTGCTTTGAGATGTGTGCAGTTTTTAGAAAGAGGAGTACTGGAGCAGTTCCGATTCGGGGGAAAAATCTATTACGTAAAATACTTTGAAATTTGTTGTTGAAACTTGTTGCTAGATTTTCTGTAAAGTGTGATTTGATATGAACAATTCTCCTTAATACTTTCTCAAAAAGCCTCAAGTAATCAAGCAGAATGCAGAGATGGTTAGATAGCTGTCATTCTGTCACGGCACTCTATCGTTGATCCAGTCAAAACTGATCACATTAGGCTAACGTCTCGGATACGCCATAGAATTTTTTTTACCACACAACACAATCCTCACATCGGCACTATCCCTAGTCTCGTTCTTCGGTTTGGCCGTATCGCATCGCACGACTTCCTTGTGACAGCAATCGAGAACCCATACAAAAAATTTCAGTCTTCAGAGTTTCCGCAGATGGAGCTCTCCGCTGGCGTTGCGCAACCAACAAAGCTCATGACATAATCACCGAGCAATCGGCTGATGATACGAAACAAGAAGTCGCTAATTATCCCAAGGCGCCCATCGGTTTTAAAATATCCGAGTTGCGTGCGTCGCCATCCTCTCTTGCTCGGTCGCCTCGCCCGGTCTTGGTGTGGATAAATCGTCTTCCTTGCTGTTCTGGATTCTTCTTCTGGCTTGTTTTCCCTCTTGTTGCTTGCTCTCGTTCTGTCTCCCTGACCGAGGAAGACGAATCAGATTTGGAGATCGTGTGGAGCCTACAAGTGGTTGTTCTTGGAGAAGCATAGTCTGCGTCTCTCTTGGCTGGTAATGTTCTAACCATTCATCTAATTGTATTTGTTCTCGTTTCGAAATTGATCTTGTTGTAATGTTCTGCGACATGGTTCGGTGTTCTTCGTGCGCTTTCTGTTAGAAACTGCCAAGAATCATTAGTTTCTGGTTGTTTGTCATGGAAGAATGCCCATCTGATCCGAATCATCTGTTCAGAATATAGCTCTGATCGAATTCTCGTCTTGGGGTGTAGTTCTTGTCTTCTTGAGCAAGGAGGCGGAGGAAAGGAAAGACATGGAAGAGGAATCCGGCGCAGCTTCAAGGTACTACTGCCACATGTGCTCACTGATCATACGGCCCGAACTGGGCATCGAGGAGGTGAAGTGCCCCCACTGCCACACCGGCTTCGTGGAGGAGATGGCGGGCGACCGGCGAGGCAGCGGCGACGAGAACATCCGAGGCCGTGCTGCCGGCGAGGCGAGCGTCAACGCCTCGGACGCGGCGCTGGAGCGCGAGGTTTCGCTCTGGGCGCCTGTCCTCATGGACTTCATCGCCGCCTCGTCCGGCCGCCACGGCCTCGACGGCGGCGGCGGAGGCGGAGGGGACCTCGCGGCTCTGGCGCGAAGGCAGTACCGCAACATCGCCCTCCTGCAGCTGCTCAACGCGCTCCAGGAAGGCGACGCCGACGGCGGGCGCGAGCGGGTCGTGCTCATGAGCCCCGCGGACGCGCGCGCCATGCTCATGGGACAAGAGCGAAGGGACGGGGACCGCGGCGGCGCCGCCGCCTTGGGTCCCAGCGGCCTGACGCTCGGGGACCTGTTCCTCGGCCCGGGGCTGGACCTGCTGCTGGAGTACCTGGCCGAGACCGACCCGAGCCGGCAGGGCACGCCGCCGGCCAGGAAGGAGGCCGTGGCCGCGCTGCCGACGGTCCGGGTGCGCGAGGCCTTCACCTGCCCCGTGTGCCTGGACGAGGTCGCGGGCGGCGGCGAGGCGCGCGAGATGCCGTGCACGCACCGGTTCCACGACCAGTGCATCCTACCGTGGCTGGAGATGCACAGCTCCTGCCCCGTGTGCAGGCACCAGCTGCCCACGGAGGAGCCCTCGGCTGAGGCAACTGGCAGCGGCAGAGGCGCTGGTGTTGAGTCCAGTGGCAACGCGCGCGGCGGAGACAGGGGAAGCGGCGGCGGGAGGAGGCATTGGTTCTCGTGGTCCTTTGGCGGGCTGTTCTCGCAAAGATCCAACGGCAACTCCTCGTCGTCGTCGTGATGCTAATGAACACTTGAACATGACGATAATATGCGTTGGTGTAGCCATGTAAGGGCCTGTCTTGTACTTGACGATTGGGTGGAGTTCTTTTTTTTTTTTGGCCAGTGTAAAGCTGCATTTGTGTTCTTTGGATGTAGTTTTGCTTATAGTCTTGCTATGATTAGTATCTGGAATCCATGTAAGAAGTTTCCCACCGTGTTTGCACGCGTTTCCCACCGCGTTGCTGAGGCTCTCAGAACTAATTCAGCAGCTCGGATTAAAAGACTGAAAATTCAGTTTATGGACTACCGTGCGTAGCATAACTGAATCACCAAATAACATGAAAATACGATATCAACATGTCACAAAACACATTATAGCATAGATATAGTGTATATAATGTTTATTTAAGTTCCCAAACATAAAAATGCTCAAAAGCATTACGTAGTTCCCTACAGCAAAAGGCTTTTTCATTCCTAAAAAGCCAAATTTTACCTCCGAAGTTCACTCATAAGACATGCAAATGAGCCAACAAAATGTAACTAGCAAGGGTCCATTCATAGCCTAACAAAATTTGCCCCAGTGAAGGCCCACCCACGTCACCAACACTAATTGACTGTCAAGATCTTGATGACAGATGATGCACCAATACGATGCAAGGCGACGACTGAATCCCCTGACTTGCAGATCTTGAGCTTCTTCGCATGATCTATGGCAAAGCTAATGGCTTCCTCAGTCGACTCATTATCAGATGCCTTCGCTGTAGTGGCGCTAAGCATCGGGATCAGGCCCCTCACAATCATGCTGTGCCTGGCAGGGCGCTCATCACTGCAAGTCCAGTTAAAATTATCATCCGTCTTCATTTCTGGGACCACAGCGGTTATCACTGGAATTGCTGGCCTGTACTTTGCCACGAGCCTTGCGGTTGTGCCTCCCCTTGTGAGGACCAAGATGAGTGATGCATTACAGATGTTGGCGGTTCGAACTGCTGATGACGCCAAGCTCTCCAGTGGACTCATAGGGATTGGTGCGGCACTACTGATTAACTTGAAAACTGCTCCATAATCTGTATGTGACTCTGCTTGTAGGCAAATCCTTGACATTGTTTGCACCGCTAGCTCTGGATATGCCCCAGCTGCAGTCTCACCGCTAAGCATAACACAATCAGTGCCATCCAGGACAGCATTGGCGACATCAGTTGCTTCTGCTCTTGTAGGGCGGGGAGATTTAATCATTGACTCCAGCATCTGGGTGGCAGTAACAACAGGCTTTCCTTGCACATTACATTTGAAGATCATCACCTTCTGAGCATAGAATATCTTCTCGATGGGTATCTCCATTCCCAAATCCCCTCTGGCAACCATGAAAGCATCTGAGTTTGCAAGTATCTCATCAAAATTGGCAACACCTTCTTGATTCTCAACCTGCATAAGCATTTGATGGCACGTAAGCAAATGGCAGCATTAAAAAAACACAAATTCATACAGACATAGAGACAGGAGATGAGCTCATGAGCATACCTTGGACATAAGTAGTATTGACTTGGCATGCTCACCGAGCACACCTCGGACCATCTGAAGATCTGATCCTTTGCGTACAAAGGATAGCGCAATCATGTCAATGTTGTTTGGGACACCCCACTGAAGGATATCCTCTTTGTCCTTTTCTGTTAAGGTTGGGAGATCCACGATCACCCCAGGAAGATTGACATTCTTTCTCTCCCCCAGGAGCGCTGAGTTCTCACAACGGCAACGAACCAGGCCTTGCACAGGATCACAAGAAAGCACAGTGAATGTGATGGTGCCATCAGCACATAGTATTGTGCTCCCAGGCTTCAGGTCTACAGCAATCTTGTTGTAGCTCATGGAAATCATATTCTCATCACCCTTAATGGAATAATCAGTGGTGATGGTGATTTCGTGCCCCCGTGTCAGCTTTACAGGCTTGCCATCTTTCAAAAAACCTGTGCGGATCTCTGGTCCCTGTACAAAAATAGAAAATTACAAGGTGCAAACTAAATCAGTTGATGCATTCTTCTTTCCATGCATTAAGTTCCATAAGATATTCAAACAGTTTGACAGGAAAATATGCATGAAAAATATTCTTAGCATTAAATAAATTTGTGGCAAACAGTATGCAGAGCTAGTCAAATCCATCACAAGCAAAATAGATAATTGATGAACCTCTAATAATCATCAAAAGTAATTGCATCTTCATGTTATTAGATATCAACCACGCAGTATATTTAGCCAAGAATCATAACTCCATGCTGAGATTTGTGCTACAACATTACAATCTTGTCTATCATTAAAACGATCAAAAGAAGGTAATCATACAAAACATATTTCATCAGAATAGCATGGACCAAATCACAGTACAACTAATGCAGCATAAAAGTTCACTTTCAAGGCTCTTCATGACGAGCAGCAAGGCCATCTATCTCCTGAATAAAAATAGTGTCTTATGGAACCACAGAACAATGCATTCCTGAAATAACCAATGCATCTATCCCTCTTGGTAAACTCTGGTTGGTTAATTAGTACGACAGCATTGATTTTAAGTATTGTTTATCCTCTTTCCACGCTCCACTGCTACCTATTCTATCTAATAATCTAATAAGAGAATAAAAACAACGACAATAATAGGGACCATGAGAATGTCATCCTTATGGCACCATAGAACAATACATTGCTGAAATAATCATATGTCATTCATATGATAAGAAACAATGCATCGATACCTCCAGATATAAAAAAAAGATTCATTATTTACTACAACAGCATTGATTCTAAGTATTATTTATCCTCTTCCCATGCTACACTGCTGTCTTTCTAAGAGAATAATAAAAACAATAATATTAATAAGGCACATGAGAATATGTCATTCACGAATAAGTGAATGGAACCATCTAGCCCATTGTATATGTGAAAAGCCAGCTTTCAAGCTAATATCAACTAATCATTTATGTTGAAAGCTGTAGTCTATGGGTGAATGAACTGATCATATATCATATATAAAGAATGATGTGGACATTTCAAACAAAGAGTAATGATATGTCAATGCCCGTCATATCATAATCAACCACTCAAGACTTCACAAAGAAATTAGCTTCACATGGCTAATTAATTTGACAGCAATCAAAAAAAAAAATGAGTAGATCATACAAGAGAACCCAGACGTCAAAAGGGATTGGGGAGGGCCAATAGCCCATTAGGTACCTTAGAGCTATCAACTAGTATAATAAAAAAAGTTTAATATGACATCCAAATTCTGTAGGCCCTCCAGCCATCATACCATGACTGCATTGATAAGGGCTTCCCCAACGGTGTCCCAAGCGCTAGCTAGGAGGAACACTCATCCAATCAAACGGAGAGAGAAGAAGAAAAATTTCCAAGCTAGCGCTTGCTCAAGAGGCTAGCTCGCACGCCTCTCGAAACTTTCTGGGTCACTGACATATTAACTGCCGTGCTATGATATCTGAGTGTTCTCTTTTTTAATTGTTTCTAGCATCCACATCAGCTAGCGATTTATACAAGCTGTTGGGGACGCCATAAGCGCATGGACAATGCAAGTTGCACTCAACAAAATTATATCTGGGTCAGCCACAAATTCCAATTCGCCACGCCACAAATGTCAACCACATACACACGTCTAACCAACCAACTAACCAAATACCACCGTAAAAGGGCGTACTCAGTGCAGAGAGCTCCCGCTCTGTGCGGGGTCTGGGGAAGGGTGTTAGTGGCAAGCCTTATCCCTCGTCTGTGCAATGCGAGGAGACCGCGACTCGAACCCGGGACTTTCCGGTCACAGGCGGTAAGACTCTACCGCTTGCACCAGGCCCGCCCTTCAAACCAGATACCACCGTGATTTACATAAACAAATCAGATCCAAACAATCAACAAGAAATCCTAATGCTGATTATAAATGCCATTGACACAATATATACCTGGAAAAATGTCAGGTACCAAACTAAAAATTGAAGGTTATTAATAAATAACGGCACGGCAGAAGAAGACGCAATCTTACACTTGCCTCAACCGGTACGGACAAGGCACATGTCAAACAATAAAGAACAAACAACATGTGACATCCGACAGAAGCTAACTTCCAAAATTGTACTTAATTAGGGGGTCGATCATTACCAACAAGTGACAATTTTGACGCTCATCTGAACTAATCGTTCACGTGTGAAACTGAAAACATATAAGCGCAAATCAACATGGGGAAACAACGTACAAGATCGGATCAACAGCCTACAACGGACAACAAAATCGGCCATAACAATTTTTTTTTAAAAAAAAGGTTGACGAGATAAACGACGGCGCGCGAAGGCGGGGAAGCACATGAAGCGAGTTGAAGGCAGGGTGGACCTTAGTGTCGAGCATGACGGCGCAGATGAGGCCGGTGAGGTCCATGGCCTTTCGGAGATTGTCCAGGGTCTCCTGGTGGTATTCGTGGGAGCCGTGCGAGAAGTTGAAGCGCGCGACGCACATGCCAGCGCGCAGCAGACGCGCGCACATCTCGACGGAGCGCGAGGCCGGACCTAGGGTGCAGACGATCTTGGTCTTGGGCCGGCGCCGCCATATCTCCTCCGGCCCCGTTGCGACGCATTCCATGTCCACGCCCGCCAATGCCGCCCGGAGGGACATTGCCGCCTAGGGTTGGGGGCGTTGGGCGATTGATCAGGCGGCGCGGAGCGGCGAGGAGAGGGAGGGGAACAGTAGAGGCAAGGCGGATGGGTCGGAGAGGAAACGAGTATATATTATATGAAGGGCGATGGAAGTGGGCCACGTCGTGGGCCCTTCGGAAATTGGCTAGGTTAATTGTGGTATTAAAATGCTCTCGCTCGGAGCTCGCATACCATACGAGTATTCTATCGTTTTTCTTGTCTTGAAGAAAGGGTTTGCTTTTCTTCCCTTTCTTGAGCACGAAGATAATTAATTATGAGTATCCGCACGGAGTACGCGTTAGATAGATTACATTAAAATATTGGACAGTACAACTACGTCGATTTGCTA